CTAGCTCCTCAATAGAATATTCTTGGGACAACCTCTTGGAAGGGGTATTGCTTGAATATGCTTCGTCGCTCCAATTTTGTGAAGCAGACATGGTTGGCTGGAAGTTGGAAATGGAAGCTATGAGTTCTTAGTGCAATAAATTTTTTCCAATAATAATAAATTTACACAAATATAACTTGGAAGCAAACTTACAGTATGAAGGGAAGTAGGAGTCACTGCTTCATTGTCGAGTATATGATGGTTAAGAACAATTTCTTTTCCTTTTGTAGTCGGGGCATTCATGGTGTTTTTAGAAGTCAACTACATGATAATATATTCTATGGTCAGTATGTTAGTGTAACACAGGAAGAATGTAATTAAATTTTGATGACTCAATGCATCATAAACCTCATTTGGATGAACGACATCTTTGAACATTTGGATTACTTCTTTGTCCTCAGTAAGCTTGACAACAGATGCTTGCTTAAAGTTCGGCTGAAACTTCACGCGAAAAGCAAATTCCTTTTCTAATAGTTTGTCCAAGTTTTCAGGATAGATTTGTGGATGATCTTCATTGGACTATGAATGTATAAAATGCCAACATTAATGATTTACATAACTGTTTTTCAAAAGAAATGAAATAGCAGCATGACATGATCTGTACCAGGACCGACAATTTTAATCATACTACATTGTATGACAACATTTCACATTCCAGACATAGGCCAAAAATTCATGACAGAAAATGTGAACCTAACTAAGAGCACAACTAAGACCACATTAGTTTTCTTCTTTATGGAGAAAACTTAGGTACAGTGCACTATGATATTATATATTCATGGAAAAATCTCTTCTTATTTCAGTATAAACTAAACTAATTTGGTTGTCCAGAGTTGTGTGGTCTATAATATTATATATTCATGTTATTGCACCATGCACTATGAATGATTGATATTATCAGGCTATGGAAGACTTGGCTAAGGCATTAGAGTTTGAATCCAACACAACAGACATTTTACACCAGAGAGGTATCTTGTCTAACACTGAGTGTTTTCATCTTGTTTTTTCAGTAAGTGATTGATACATGTATGTATCTTGTAGACAGAGCTTTCACCGGTTTTATGTGAAATGAGTGTGAACTGTTTATTATTGATATGATCCTACAGGTGTTTAATATCTCATAGTCAATCACATGATTTCATATATCAGAGCTTATATAAGAGCAACATACTGTTGTTACGTGTATACGTTGAATGTATCAAGCAGACATACAAGTACATAATATTTACGCACCTTTTTCATGATTTCTCTTAAAGCATGTGCTGCCATTCCAACATATTGGATACACTCCTTGTCCCAAAACACAAAACAACCAGTCGTGCAATCATTTTCGACCTCGATTTCAATTTTATACCTAAGGAAATGGTTGAAATATAATAAAATTAACCAACATGTTTAAATAAGGTTCTTAGATAATTTATATAGTAACTAAAAAAGATGTGCTTACTTGGTGAGTGGTGGAGGTGTATTTTCACAACATGTGCATATGAATGGCTGCCCAGGAAATTTATTAGTTCTGTTACATGCTGGACACTGCTCATAGTACCAACCAGACCTACTTGACTTAAACCTCTTTGTGGTTCCAAAAGTGTTACAAAAAGCTTGCTGTAAATAAACATGGCATGTTATATTATTGGAAACTTGCAATTGAGTAAAAATGAAGGAAACATAATAAAAAATGGTTATGTTGCATTGTGATAAAAACTGGAGCATAGGAACTAATACACTTACATCTTGAAGAATCACGATGTCAGCAATGGTTTTGACATCATTGGTGTAGGAGAAAGATCGGTCCACAAACGACCCTTGTGATGCAGAAGGTTGGGAGAGTGGTTGTGAAATAGTCTTTGAAATGGCCTTGTCTCCCAACCTGTATAAAAGTGAAACATTATATACAGTGGAGTACATTTAAGGGGTTTGACTATTTATCACATTGAATTATATTTCCTTACTTTGATTTGAATGCTGTGACCTGTGGATGAACAAAATCAAGAAGCAATTTGGATCCGTTCCAAGCATTTGAGATGTACCATTTTCCGGTGGCTGCAAAAAAATAACAGCGGCATAACAGTAAGAGTAGTATAAGAAGCCAATCACAAATGAAAGGAATAAGAGTGAAAAATCATTTTCAAGCATTACTTGAACTTTTCTGGCACATAGCATGAGTGATTATTATTATAGTCTGGCCATGTGCGGTATGCTCAGTCAAGTATGCCATGAATTGGTTGGCATATGATTCCCAAAGTGTAATATCTATTTCAGAACCACTAATAATAAAGAGAGAAAAAAGTTATAATGTGATATATATATATATATATATATATATATATATATATATATATATATATATATATATATATATATATATATATATATATATATATATATATATATATATATATGTTATAATGAAGAACCACTAATAATAAAGAAGTTATAATGTGATATACATTTCATCAGATAAGGTAATGTTGACACAAGCCTTCTTTCCGCCTCCTGCAACTTGAGATCTGACTACTTGGTGAAGTACACCAATGACATCTGTTTGATAGTAAGGCCAAATGGTTAGTCTATTAGTTCACAAACATGTAATAATACAAATGATGTTTAAGAAAATTTAAAATACCATATAAGCGGTTGACTTGGAAATCTCCGTGTAAAAAATCGACGATGGGTTTGAAATGAAATTGATGGGGTGGTATTTCTGGTAAATCTACCATGGTTACAGTGGTCCCACTATTGAAAAAAAGCTTCAACGGATTTTCACAGTTTTTCAAAGGAATATCGTTGTTTAATGGATCACCATTATAAACCATATAAGTCATATGTTCTTGTAACCTCTGTTTCCACAAATCGAAATCTCTGTTGCGGGTAACGACATGTATTTTATCACACTATGAATAAAATGAATAGTTAGTACATATTTTAAGTTATGTAAAAGTTAGATAACATATTTACAGCAATAATGCATATCGTGCTATCTTGGATAATACATTCAAAATGTTGTTGTCCATTACGCTCGGTTACAGTCCATAGATCAACAATACGGATGGCGAGCTTCCATACATTGTTTCCACACTTCAAATCAGAAATCAAAATAGGTGCTCTAGACATGGTGATCTGAAAAGTAACAACTACAATATAAGTTCATAACAGACATGGTTTTCATAACAGACATGGTTTTCAGAGATGAATAACAATAAAGAAATCAAACAGAAATTGTTAGCAAAGCTTGTAGCTTTCTTATCGGGAAAAAAGATGAACACAAAGCAACATTCATCTCAAAACCCAGAAAAATGGATTCAAAACGGATTCAAAACAACATCATGATAATCAAACCCACAGTCATTGTAAACCCAGAAAAACAATGGTTGAACTATGGGTTGTGAAACAAAAAAATCAGACTCTTGGTTTGTGAAATAGAAAACCAGAAAAACTAAAGATAAGGAAAGACGATGTACCTTCTTTTTTTAGCTCGCAAGCACTACAGACAAGGGAGATGATGATGTTCTGAAGTATGAAGTGTGGAGAAAATTGAGAAAAGTGAAATATGACTTGTGGAAAAATGAGAGAAATATCAGAGAATGAAAGATATAGAGAAGCTGAATAGTGTGAGAAGGGAGGGAAAAATGAAATAACTTTTGGGACCAATGGGCAACTGACACTTGGATGAGAACCAAGGTTTTAGGAAGTGTAAAGATTTTAATATGTTGATTACCAAACTGTCCCTATACATAGAGAAATGTAAAATTTGTTATTGGATATTTGTGTAATAATGGTGGCATATTATTGCAATGGGTAGATAGTTGATAGTTGATAATTTAAGAGGGAAACAATATTTATCATCATTGATGAATTTATAAAGAAAGAAAATGAAAAATGGTAGCATGCGAGAAAAATAACTGAAGAAATTCATAATAACACTGAGTAACTTCTCTCAATGACACTTTCGAATACGAGGAGCATATCGAAAAACGTGCTTGTGGCCGTTACTAATGGATATCAAAACATGACATATGCCAAATACCTTAGAACTTTTTTAAGTCAGCTAATGTGTAGTCGTAAAGAGAAATAAATAAAAAAAAAAAACATTATATATATTCGGAATAGGTGGAAAATTTATTTGATGATTGGGGTAAATATATTTTACTCATATATATATATATATATATATATATATATATATATATATATATATATATATATATATATATATATATATATATATATATATATATATATATATATATATATATATATATATATATATATATATATATATATATATATATATATATATATATATATATATATATATATATATATATATATATATATATATATATATATATATATATATATATATAACTTTTGTGCTCACATCATTTTTCTTTCTTCCGTCTTTTTTGGGGGTGATGTATAGTTCCCCTTTGTACATATTTTATTTTTTATTTTCTATTGATAAATTTATGAGTTATGGATATAAGATGGGGAAAAGGGGTGCCAACATAGTTAAGATGTCTTATCTCTCATTGATGTCATGATTCTCTTAATTCACCTAAAAAACATTATGCTTTTTTTTTTTTTCAATTATTCATGTTATTGAAAATTTTAAGTTACTTAAACACATACAAATATTTAGACCAATTAACTCATCAACTAAAACTCCAATAAAATATTCATGGAATTTCAGGATAATTTTTCAAGTTCATTTGTTGTAAAAGAATTTTAAGGTCAACATTGTGTGACATCAAGTTATGCAAGATCATAAATTTTATGCCATTATCATAATCAGCTTTCAAACACATAAAATTACTTGCATTGCTAATCAACTCATAAACACTAACTCATCTTCTTAGAAACAACTAAATAGCATGGAAATTAACCTTTATGAAAAGAAGAACAAGGAGAAAAAAAAGAACTAAAAACAATGTACTTTTTTTGCTCAATTATTCTGAAACTTAACAGATAACACATGCATTAGGATTCTCTTCAACACTAGTGTAATAGTATTGTGGTTGTGTCACCATCATAGGATAATGATAGGCTTCACAAACCTTCACAACCCCAGATGCTGTTGAGTTCTTACTTTGATCCTTTTTCTCCTCAGTAACCTTCTTTTTCTCTTCTTTCTTAGGCTCCTTGGCTGGTCCAACAGATAATATCTTAGGAAGACACAGCTTCCTCAACTTTGTCACTACTTGCACAGGATCTATGTCTCCGGTTAAGGTTAGTTTCTGGTCCTTCATGTCCAAAGACACTGACTCAACTCCTACAAAAACCGTCGTTAATTTATTCTCTTTGATTTTTCCTTGATTTTTATGTAAGGATGGAATATCAAAGAAAATGAAAAAGAACTTAGAGTGACAAGAGATTGAAGTTCCATACCTGAAATATTAGATATCACCTTCATGGTTTTTTTCTTTGTCTTGTCATCATGTATTTCCACTTGCAGCACTATTTTCTGTCATGGAACAAAATTAGAGGACTGTTAGGAGTTTAGAATCTCTAAAATCACTTCAAAACAAGAAGAGTGATGAGTTGTGCATGGAATTGGAAACAAAGCAAAACTAAGTAAGAACTATGTACAAAATCTAACATTCATTGATGTTGATAGTGTTGATAAAGTGTGAGTGAGGCAGAAACTACAAGGATTGGTGTGGTGAAGTTTATCTAAGCTTGATAGTATTTTAAAGGAAAAGAAGTCAACTTAAGTCTTGGGAAAATTAGCATAAGACACTTGTGTTCAACTTGAATTATTATGAAAAGGGTCTGCACATGATGACAGTTGTGTTTATAATATTGTCATTATTCACATACAATTAATCAATTAATGCTTGCTTGGGATCTACAATACTTGTTCAACTTCAATTATTTTGAAAATTAATTAGTCAATAGTAAACCATATGTAACACTTCCTCTTATACCCTATAATATTTTTCTGTAATAATCTGATACTTACTTTTTCTACGTTTCCATCACTTGCTAATCATATTAAAACATGTTAATTCAATTTATGATTAAGTTTAATTATATGATTATTACTGACATATAACAGAGAGATTGGAAGGTAAACTTCAATGTTTGCATACATTGATTAATAAAAGAAATCTTGAATTAGAAGCTTAAGCCTCGTGTTATACACAGTTTTATGTATATATATCAAACTTCCTAATTGTCTCAAGCAGGAAAGCCAACTGCGCGTATCCAAAAAGAAGTCCCATCACAGCAAAATTTAGCAGGATTTGCGTAAATTTGGCGTCTTATATTAGAATGACTCTTGTTATAATTTTTCGAATAGGGAAACTGGCCACGAGTCCATCACCCACTTTTGTTGTGAGCTATGGCTTTTTAAGTCACTTGAGTTCGTTTCCGGACCGAAAATAGCATTTTAATATATCCACAATTTTAACAATTTTAGTTTTGTTTTCCATTATTTTAACAATTTCCGTTTTATTTCTGTTGTTGAATATTAAGATTTGGGTTTCTTTTCAGTATTTAAACATTTTTGCATGTGGCTGTCAAGGTGATCTTTTATCAAAATAAAATTCAATAATTTTCTTTATCTGTGGGTTATAGAGTTTTATCTGACAAATTTGTTGCTTGCAAACTTCTATTTTCGTTCAAGGTTTAGCGCTTGCTAAGTCTTTGTGATTCTGACTGCGTCAGGTGGCATCAGAGTATGTTTCTCCTATTTTTATTTTTTTGTAGCTTGATCAATCATGGGAGATCAACCCGTGACTAGAGCAGACCTTGAGGGAATTACCACGACTATTACCATGACCCTAGCTGCTTTGACGAAACAAATGGAGACTTTAACAAATTAGGCGAACAACGTCAACAACATCAGGAACCAGCAAAGAGACTGTAGAGGGGAATAAATTAGGGTTCCAAGGGGAAGAAAAAATCGTAATGTTATTGCTGAAAGTTTGAGTTCTAAAGAAGAAGAACCCAACGAGGAAGACATAGTTGATAACGGAAATCGACATAACCATGACTATTCAGTGAAGGCTGCAATTCCATTATTCTACGGAACGATGGGAGTGTGGGAGTTTTTGGATTGACAGATTGACGTTGACAGATTCTTCAATGTAATGGGCGTCCCAGAGAACAAGCAAGTTAAAATGGTAGTGATCGTTCCGAAGAGTAATTTTGATGTCTGGTGGGATAAAGTTGTAGTTATGAGGCAGAGGCAAAGGAAATGGCCAGTCAGAACTTGGCGAATAATGAAACAATTGATGCTGGAGTGGTTTTTAGCGGGGAATTTTGAAGAGATTATTCTTTATATATTGAGTGTGTTTAGGGTAAGAAAACTGTGACAGATACACAACTAAGTTCCAACATTTTTTTGAGCATGATGAACTATGAAAATCAGAGAGCCAGAAAGTGGCTTGATTCATCAGTGGCTTAAAGGGATTTTTACAGGAGAATATAGGTTTACAGACTATATGGAATGTGGTTGAGGCATCCAGTCTTGCTTTGAAGGCATAATAGACGGGAAATCCTCTCAAAATCTCTCATCTTTTAGGTATTTTCCCCATAATAACTTAAAATTAGCAAGCGACAGGGAAAACAATGCAGTAACAAAGGATTCCAACCCTAGGTATAAGGGATCTAGCAGCCCTAGTGGTGTGTATCAAGGTAAAACAATAGTCTAGAGGTAGAATAATCCATATTCTAAACCTACTAGAGACACATGTTATTTTTGTAATGGAAGAGCTCACAGATCAAATGTTTTTTAACAAGGAGAGTCATTATCGTTGTAGAAGAAAGGAAAAAGGAAGAGGAAAGAAAAGGAGATGTAGTTGAGAACGATGAATATGTTGGGGTTGAGTTTGCAGAGGATGAATTTGATGAGAGGGTAAATTTTGTGTTCGAAGAATTTTACTAGCATCCAAAGATGATGGGCAACACAATGTCGCAACTGCGAAAAACCACCGACGGAAAAACAGAAGAGTCGCCACTTTCATTTTTTATCCCAAAGAGAGGGAAAGGAAACGATCACAAAAACCTAAAGAAAAAGGGAAAGACAAGGTCATCGCAACCATGTTTGGATTCGGGAGTCGGTTACGCAAGGGGAAGGTATTAGCACCCCTCACGTTCGTCGTACTCGACGGCATCCACGCATTGTTGTCTATCTAAAAGGGTGTGTTGATACTATCTAGCTAAAGGCTTAAGGACAAAAGAAAAAGAAAAAGGAACTGACTCGGCAGAGCATCACCGCTCTGTGCCTACGTACTCCCTCGTGCAATGGGAAAGTCAGAGTCAACAAAGGTCATTTCCAATCCAAACTAGGTCAATCACTTGTGTGAGCTGTCCTATGAGATGACCTAACTTGTAAGTCACTTCAAAAATAGGAAAAGGGATAAAAAAAATATCAAATAAAATGCACAAAGAAACTACACAAGTTGGAAACCAGAGGCCAAGAAATCAAGACAAATGTCCTTTCAAAGCACCACCAAAAGAATCAAATCATTTGGATGTACCACTTTGAAATGGAAGAAACAAGTGTACAAAGGAAAAGCCCAAAAAGTCAACCTAAAAGTCAACAAACATGGGCAAAATGGTCCTTAAAAATTGATCAACTCATTATTAAGATGAGGATCAATTTTTAGTCATTGGATCAAAAAGGAAAGAGAGAAATAAAAGCAAACACAAAACATGTTACAATTCAAACCAATTAAAACTATTCCAATACTCAATTCATTTTTTTTAACTGAAAATAAAATGGAAAAAATAAAATAAAAATATCAAAAATAAGTAGACACTTCAAAGTTGATTAAAAATATTTTTGGTGAATTTTTGGAGTATTGGAACTATTTTAATTAATTAAAATTTTAAACAGAAAAATAAAACAAAAAAACAAATGAAAATAAATGAAAATAGAAAAAGATGCGTGGTAAATAACAATAAAATCCAATTCAGAAAAGGATTTGGGCCCAGCTAGGGGGTGTGGAAAGCAACGCGCCCCAAGGCCCAATCCAAAATTCAAAAAAAGAAATAATTCTGGGAAATCTGGTGCCACAGGTCAACAAAGGACTACCATGGTCATGCAATCTGGGGCGTGTGATCAAATGGTATTCTCATCATACGGTTAGTAAAGTGACAACACATTAATGAATTTTAAAATGAATGTAGTGTGGTTCGATCAACTTGGATGCACCTTGCATCTTAATCACAACCATTGGAATAAGAAGTATTCACATCTGACGCTCAACACAGTGCCACATACGTGTCTTCTTCCTCAAAACTCCCCACCGGCTGGACTGAACTTTCGGTCACCCCTACCAATGTTCTGTCCGCCGCGCATCAACAACAACAACATGGCTTCTCCAAAACTTCACCATTTTTGACGAATTTTATACAAAATTCGTCTAGAGATTATAAGGATCTTATATCTAGCATCCAAATCCACATATCTTGCAAGATGAATCCAAACCGAAAACAACAAGGATGAACATCCAAAATCAAAGTTCATGAAAATATCTCCAATTTAATCCAAAACTCATCTAGAGCTCACGTAGATCACAGATCAAGTGTCAAACAAGTAAGATCATGCACAAACAAGCCAAACCAGATCCAAACATAAATGATCATCATCCAACAATCACAACCAATGCTAGTTCGTTTTACATTTTAATGATCTACATTGATCCTACGTCACAAGTATGCAAAAATGACAGTGAATTGATGCTTATTAAGAGTGTAATGTTGAAATTCAATTACCTTGTGGAGAACTTCCACTGAGCCTTCAAATGGAGCTCAAGCTTGCAAGTAATTGCCTAGAATCGTTCACTGAACTTCAAGGAAGCTTTCTCAATTCACAATTTCTCCTGAAACAGCCTCAATCTCCAAATTCGAAATTTGAATTTCTCCCACTTTTTGAAAACTGAACTTGATGAATTTGGCTCCAATTTTCACTTCTGAGGGTTTGTTCATGGCCAAAACAATATATATGATGGATCCTGATGATAATTAGGCCCAATCAAAGCCTCTAACAGTCCATACCAAAATCCAAGGAATTGAAAATTTCCAAATTTCATGTACACAAAAATGCACTAATTTTGGCTCTAAAGTGGTTGGAATCACTTGCTGGTATCACATGGAGCATGAATGGTCAAGATTGGAGCCTTGTTTGATCTCAATGGCTCATGTTGATTGTGTAACTTCATAGTGAAGAAACCTTGAAAATGGCTTGTTTAAACACCTTAAATCCAAAATGTAAAATTGCCAAAGTGTTTAAAATGATATTTGCACTCAAAAAATGCATCCATTTGCACCAAAATGATAAAAAATGACATAATTCCAAATTTTCCCCTTTAATCCTTTTTCCATGAAAATTCAAATATCAAGACCTCAAACCAAGCCAACTCCTTAACTTCTCAATGCTTGAATAAGAAAATAACACCATTT